GGAAGATCAGGGGTTCCTGCCGTGGAACGACCCGTGACGCGATCCTACGCTCGGGACCATAACACTCCCACACACCATGGTCCTTGCCATAAACCCCTTATATCTGCCAATTCATCCCACAGTTCTTTCCTTTTCCCTGTAAGAGTTAGGTTCATAAACATTTGTTACAACCCATTCAAAATTATCACTCGCGCTTTTCAACTTTACAGAAATTGAGAATTTGCCTATCAATTCCTCCACATACACCACTTTTTCTTCATTCCAAAGGGTAATTATACCCCTTGAAGCTCCCCACGAGGGGGCCTAAACCCAACCAATGCCTCTTCCTGAATCGTTAGAACCTCTAGCCTCTCTCTCCTCACCATTTCTATAATGATCCTTCGCTTATTAGCACTTCCTAAACCTCTTACATTCCAACTTAAAACCTTCATCTTAAAATGAGGAATATATAACCCCTTCAAGGCTAGAACCACTCCTTCCCCTTTTCTAATTATTCCCTTTCTCCTTCCTGTACTCTCACTCCTCTTTACTTTTACCTCACTCACCTTTGAGTTTATCTACCTCACTCACCTTTCTTTTCCTTGTCTTCCCTGCTAATTCTCCTTCCTCTCTCTGACATTTTTCTAAGTCGGGCTTAGTGATTTTCAATCCCAACCTTTCTGCCCACTCCCTCAAGGTAACTTCCTCGTCAGACATTAACTCACCCTAATCCCTAGTTTTTTCTTCATCCACCTTCTTGTCCCCCGATTGCTCTACCCCTTGTACTTCTTTCATACTTGTCTTGTCTGTTACAATACTCGCATTACCTTTTATCCCTTCTACCCTAGCTCTTGCTACAGTCATGGGCTCTTCAAGTCGCTGGTTTGGAGATGGAGAATCTGCACGGACATCAGAGCTAATATCAGTATTCAAAATTGAAGACACAAGGTTACCTTGGGTGGTTGGGTACACGGAAAAGGAGAGATCCAAAGGCTGAGAGTCGATGTTGAACCTAACTCCCACCAACATAGAATCTTTAAGTTGGTTATTCCCTAGCGTAGAGGGTTGGGGGGAGACGGGGTTTGTTGCCTTATCCTCTTACAGAGAACATGTGCAAATCTTATGGCTAGACTCCTTTAACAATGAACTAATCCCCTATGAATGCTCCTGTCTTTGATCTAGTTCCTTCCTTTTTGGGCACACTGCAACACCTTGAAGCGGCTGGACAATAGAATCATCAATCGAAAGCTTTGAAAGTCTTGGACTAACATAGTCGTCCACAGAAAGCTTGAAGAGAAGTTTCAAACTCAGGTCTTCAGCATCGGGAAAAGGATTCCGATCTTGCATGCTTCCGAGACTTGATAGCTCAATAGAACTGTAGGCATCATCTTCTTCTAAACTACTCCAATCTATCTCACTATCCTCTTTCCACACTTGTCTCTTCCTAGCAAACCTCGGATTTGGATGCTCAGTCCACTGTAACTTTCTTGTCTTCCACTATAACTCACCTCTTTTTATGCTTTCCATCGGTGAACCTCTAGGGACGATGCTAGACCATAACTGCTACCCAGCATCAGCCCAACAAATTGTGTCACGTGATTACTAGAGGAAAGTGGCTCACTAATCACACTTCTTTGAACCGGTTTCTCAACAACCTTGTCAGTTTGTCCTTCCAGTTCACCCAAACTCCTTTTTTTCTGCACCATAGGATCATGTGAGTGTACAATCTCAACAACCTTGAAATTACAAATTTTCTCTCTCAATCTCCTCTATCCCCATCTACCATTAGTTTTGGTATCGACGTGGAGTGTACAATCATCGTAGTATTATGTTTTTCTTGGAAATCTTCAATCCCTAATTTCTCAAATCTCCTCCTTCCTACTTAGTTTTTCTTCTTCCTGTGGATGGTCCTATTTCTGCTTCTCTTCCTTGTTGACCCAAAACCAACCTGTAGGTGATGTAACTCATCTGCAACCTTCTTCCACCCTTCCAAGTTTTTTCCTTCTGGGATGACAATCAATTGTTTCCTTCCTTTTTCAAACTTCTCCTCCAAAGTCACAAACAACCTTTTGGAGTTTCTTCTTCCTTCGGCGACGTACTCCTTGAAGTGATTGAAGGTATCTTTCCACACCGAAAGCCAGCTCACATGCACTGCTCCATCGGGGAAGCTTTGGAACCAGGAGATGGCATCTCCCGGTTTCTCTTCTAGGATTAGCTCTTTTGCCTCGACCTTGATGAGTCTTTGCCATTTCCTTGGCGGTGTGAACTCCATCTTTTTTCTCCTCTTCCTTGTAGGCAATTAGCTCTTGAGGTCAACTTACTGAGAACCTCTATTACCAAAGTAAAAAGGATGGGAGAAAGTGGGTCACCTTGCCTTAAACCCATGGTTTCAAATGTCCCCAAATGTCGCTAATGTCGCCTGACATATGTCGATGTCGAGGCTCACCGACATGAAAATGGATGGTAATATAAAAATTACATTATGTCGGTCGACATTTCCTATATTTCGGAAATATCGACCAAATTAGTCCAAATAACCAAAAAAAAAATACAGTTTTTCCTATTACATTTACAGGATGTCGACTAATGTACATTAAAATAGAATATATTAGTATATTATATTAATATAATACAGTAATATTAATATAGATTATTCCATTAATAATTTCTATTTAATATTTCAAATAAAATATTTATAAAAAGAATCAACAAAATATAAAAACAAAAGAATAAATTAATTACTTTATAATATAAAACATAAAATACTTTTCAAGTAATAAAATATTAACTAGTTAGTATTTTTTAAAATATTTATTAAAATCAGAAAATGTTTATTAAATTTTATAATAAACCATATTCTACATTTAATATAAAAAATTAGAATAAATTTAATA